ATAGATTTGATTTACATAGAATATCTCACAACCCCAGTACATGTAATACATACATGTACATGTACGTATACGTATCGGTATACATGTATCATTATCAACAAGTACAATTGAAGACGATCGACATTGCATTGACATAATGCAATCGATAATGGCATTGTAATGAATATGATCGGCAATATTAAACTACGTACATGTAATTACTTATTCAACCCAAGAAACATAAATCTTCAGATTATATTGTTATGAAGATAAATGCAACACTAGTCAATATTATAAAAGTAAAAAACAAAGCAACTGAGTCTATTTTCAAATCGACAGGAAACGGGTGTTGTAGAATAAAATGTAATCTTTGTTCCTGTTATCAAGATGTGAAGAAAGTATTAAAATGGTGTTCGCGATTAGTAGAGAATGCAAAAACAAAAATAAAATGTAATACTAGTCTTAAAACTAAAATTGAAATACAAAAATATAAGCAAAAATCATCCTTAGAATGTACGAATTCAGCCGAGGTTAGAGATGATAAGAGACAATGCCATATTGGTTGCTGTTATCAAAATGAGAAAAAAGCATTCGATTATTGTTCGAATCTGGCAGAAGATGGAGATATTAAGGGACAATTTGATTTTTATTTCGGTTGTCAAAATAATAAAGCAAATCAAAAAAAAAGATGAGGAAAAAGCACTCAAGCGGTACTTGAAATTGGCAAAGGATGGAGACGTAAGAGTACAGTGCCATCTTGGTTGGTGTTATGAAAATGGAATTGGTACACAAAAAGATGAGAAAAAAGCATTTTATTGGTATTTGAAATCAGCAGATGGTGGAAATGCTAATGAACAATGTAATCTTGGCGTTTGTTATCAAAATGGAATTGGAACTCAAAAAGATGAGAAAAAAGCATTTGAGTGGTATTTGAAATCAGCAGAGGGTGGAAATGCTAGAGGACAATGTAGTCTTGGTTATTGTTATCATAATGGTATAGGAACACAAAAAGATGATAAAAAAGCATTCAAGTGGTATTTAAAATCAGCAGATGGTGGAAATGCTAAAGGACAATGTGATCTTGGTGGGTGTTATGAAAATGGAATTGGAACTCGAAAAGATGCGAAAAAAGCATTTGAGTAGTATTTGAAATCAGCAGACGGCGGAAATGCTAGAGGACAAAGTAATCTTGGTTATTGTTATCAAAATGGTATAGGAACACAAAAAGATGAGAAAAATGCATTTGAATGGTATTTGAAATCAGCTGAGGGTGGAAATACTAGAGGACAAAGTAAGCTTGGTTATTGTTATCAAAATAGTATAGGGACTCAAAAAGATGAGGAAAATGCATTTGAGTGGTATTTGAAATCAGCAGAGGGCGAAAATGCTAGTGGACAATGTAATCTTGGTTATTGTTATAAAATAATATAGGAACACAAAAAGATGAGAAAAAAGCATTTGGGTGATATTTGAAATCAGCAGAGGGTGGAAATATTCGAGGACAATGTAATCTTGGTTTGTGTTATAAAAATGGTATAGGAACTCAAAAAGTTGAGGAAAAAGCATTTGAGTGGTATTTGAAATCAGCAGAGGGTGGAAATGTTAATGGACAATGTAATCTTGGTTATTGTTATCAAAATGGTATAGGAACACAAAAAGATGAGGAAAATGCATTTGAGTGGTATTTGAAATCAGCAGACGGCGGAAATGCTAGTGGACAATGTAATCTTGGTTTCTGTTATCAAAATGGTATAGGAACTCAAAAAGATGAGAAAAATGCATTTGCGTGTTATTTGAAGTCAACAGAGGGCGGAGATGATAGTGGACAATATAATCTTGGCGATTGTTATCGAAATGGTATAGGAACACAACGAGATGAAATGAAAGCATTTGAGTGGTATTTTATATTATCGAATTCAAAGGATGGAAGTAATGAAGTATTTGAACTTGGTAAATGTCATTATTACAGCGAGGGTACTAATAGAGATTTGGAGAAAGCGTTTTCGTATTTTCAGCAATCAGCTGAGTCAGAAAATTTTGATACTCAATATGCTCAGCATTTTCTTGCAGAATGCTACTTTCAAGGGAATGGAACAAATAGAAATGAGAAAAAAGCATTTGAATGGTATTTAAAATCCGCAGAATCTGGTTTGAATATCTCTCAATCCAAAGTGGCTGAATTTTATCAATATGGATTCGGCATTCCAAAAGATCTCGACATGTCATTAAAATGGTATCAAAAAGCGCACGATAATGGTCATGATCGAGCGGGGGAGTTGGTTGAATCTTTTGATTTTGAAAAAATTTATTCTTATTTTTGATTTTTTCGTATGAATTTATTGTATTTTAGTTAAAAAAAACTTTTGTTCATTGTCGATAATAATATTAATCAGTAATTTGTATTTTTACGCTAGGCTTATATGCATACAACACACACATAGCTAGTCATATTTTCTTTGATTTTGTTTCTACTTGTATTCTTATTCAATACATGTATATATACTAGATGGAAAAATTAGATTCCATTACGAAAAATTTATATACATATGCAGTTTTATGCAAATTGGTAAATATTGTTGCCGTTTTTTTAATCATTCTGCAATACTTAATTGGTATATCGATATTCACAGATCTTCTACATGTATTTTTTGCAGATTTATCAATACCGGTACATGTATTATATCTTCGCAAACTGCAAAACTTTAGACTGAAATCTGCACAGAACTGCAGATATAGATTTTTTGTGATGTCATAGTAAAAAAACTAACTTTAAGGATTGAAACTGTGTCTAAAACTTCCATTTCCTTTCGAAATCGGAATTTTGCTTAAGCAAATTTGGATAAAATATAATGTTGGTGAATGAATGCTATTGAAGTTAACATAGTGATACTAAATCAAATCGATATTGAATTGCTATTACGTGCATCTTCATAGAACTTCCATTTAACTTTGTTATCGTTATTAAAAGAAGCACTGAAACACAACAATATCTACATGACTCCTAAATGGCTCAATGAATCTTGATATCAATAATATATACGTCAATTATATAAACAAAAGAGGTTTAGAACAATTTATAAAGCATCGCTGCACTATTACAAGAAGTGGGATAGTAGGATCATGGAGAAACAAACCTAAATAATCTTTACATGAGTTAAGCAACTTACATCGGAGTTTATAAACGAAAGATTTGAATTAAAAAAATCGGTATAAATGTTGTTCCGCATTTTTTGCATTTCTAAGAAACCTTAATGCAAATTACTTTAGCGCAATGACGATAATTAGCGATCTCCACATTAAGTACGTATATCTTCCGGGTGAATCTGCTGCTTTTGGAGGTCCGTTAAAGCCGTGCAGTTACACGTGATTTTAATCCGATTCTGATTGCAATCATGTGACCAAAATTGAATAGCCAATAAAAATACTAGCGTTGGGCTGTTAAAAAGCTTATGTGAGTCGGTCTTTGAGTCGGTTTTTGCCGGACCGTCTCCCAATAGTCACATGATATATCAGATACTAGATTGGAGTAACCATATATATGCCAATTGTTTTTTCAAGAACGAAATTGACATAAATGACACTGTTTTCGCTCGTAATGAATACGTACAAACAAAAGATGTTTATAATAACATATATAGAACGATCATTACCCAAACAGTTCAACAAAAATCTCTGGGAAACAAAAGGCATTCGATAAATTAGGTAAGATCATTTATTTTATATATCATTATCAAGACGATTTAACAAAAATCTGAAAAAATGGTTAAAAGTATCCTATCTTCTTTCCTTATTTCTTTAAAATGTTTAATTTCAGCTCGTCGATATTCACATCTTCCACAAGTTTTCCAGTTCCTGCATTTTCACAATTCCAAATCCATTTACTAGTCTTTTAGCTGAGACCTCTTTTGAAGATGTTTCAAGTTCTGTCGAAAGTGACAATAATCTTGGAAAAGAGTCTCAAAATAATCATTAGTAATATAATCTACAATAAAAACCACTTAAAAAATAAACGTAAACCTGCTCTTGTTCGTGATTATCTCGATGTGTGCTTGAACCTCAGGGCTGAATACCGATCCACAGTTGTGGTAGAAAGCTAATGCTCTTCGTTTTCTAATCATAGCATTAATTACTTTGCATTGCAAACTACGAGTGTTCCTTGCGAACGTGCCTTCTCTGCGGCAAAGAACACTCTTAATCTTGAAAGAACTGCCTTCTAGAGGAAGCAACAAGAGCCTCGATATGCTGAAGAGTTGGTTGTATGCCAATATTCTAAAAAATTAGTATAAATTAGATAAATAAGCATAAATTAGATAAATAAGCATTATCATTAAATAAATTTGTATTAAAATAAGCATAAATTAGATAAATAAGCATTATCATTAAATAAATTTGTATTAAAATAACTATTACAGGTGCACGTGAATAAGATCATGTGTGCTTGAGTCTGTCTTTCGGACCGAACCTCGATAAAAACTCGGCTTCTGGAGCCGATAAACGCAAAAATATTCATCTTAATTATAGGACTATAGATCTGATCATGCGTTCCAGAAATGTGGGCGTTCAATGATGCAATACAGACCCGGTGCAAGACCAAACCGGAAACCAGTTGAAATTTGCGACGGCACCAACGAAATAAAAAAACTAGACACCCAACAATGAAAGAAACGCCAAATACTCACATTCAGGAAACTTGGTACGAAACCAAACTGGAACCAGTCGCGCAAGCTGTTAGTTGTTATGAGTGAGTTTGGCCGCCATTTTCGTTTCGCCGGTGTTGCAAATTTCTCCATGTTGCGATCAGATTCCAATTTGATTTCATGGCGAGTCCCAGCCAGAATTTTGCCACATTAGTTTGTTTTTTGTTTTAACAGCGACGGTGTTATGCATAATTCAGCCAATCATTGAATGTATTACAGATATAGATCATGTGTATTAAGTCAATCCGGATAATTATGATTATCCGAGTTGACTTAAGCATAAATTCACTCGCTTTTAGATAAAAGACTTATACGAATTTCGTCTTACTCTAATCCTATGTCCCATTTTAAGTGCGCCATAAAATACCCTCTGTTTGCAGACTTGACCAACCAATCAACACCAGCAGACGTATCTATACGAACCCCATATACAGACACAAAGTTGACATCTAGATTGAAAGCAGCTTCACCTATTCCAGCTTCTGCAGCATAGATGTGATTGTTCTTCGGTTTGCAACTTACTGAATCAGAAAAACCCAAGTTGTGCAATTAGATCCTCGCTCTCTGCAGCTTACTGGAACCACTCAAATGCTGCATTGCTATTTTTGGGGTGCCCAATAAACTCCAATATTTGCTGTTTTCTTGAAAGTATTCGACTATCTTGAAAAAATATTCAGATGAATGTTTTTTCCCATTCGTTACAGATAATATCTCGCCAATAATATTTTTCCCATTCGCTACAGATAATGTCTCGCCAATAATAAAATGATTTAGATCGCATCTATTCATTTATCGAGAAATATTTCATGGACTTGTTCAAGAAAAACGTTTTCGTCTGTTTGGTCACATCTATTAATTGTTGTAGCAGCTTGTATTTCCTTCGATAAAAATAATGTAGAAATTCTGCTTCGATTTCTATGACGAAGGGACGTAAGCAATTCACAAGAATAAACTGCAGAATTACACAAAACTGAACACGTTATCGTTATCGTTACACGTACATGTACCTGGCAGTGTTGATAAATTTTAATTGGACAGGACCAAACTTAAAATATCAAAATGGCGCAGTTTGTAACCTTGTTCGGACTGGTAACATCACAAAATAAATAATTAAAGAACAGTTACTGTTTTCTGCTGTTCATAAATCTATCGTATATGTATTAACTGGAAAGGAAAATTTTCTCATTTTTCTTTTTTTTTCAATTATTAAGGTACAAAAAATGCACAGCATGAAAAGTTCACGTTTCACACGGAAAAATTTAAAATTTGTGCTCTCGTGTGATGAATACATTATACATGTATATGCAAAGATAAAAGATAAATAGTCTTTCATCTAATCAGTACTTTGAGCCAGGTTCTAACTATCACAAAATATCACAATGTATAAGAAATTAGACTCAAGGAAACAATCAACAATAGTTGCATAATGCCCAATTCACTTGTCTTTCCTGCGACACCACTGGATTTTGCGCATAAGCTAGTAGAATTTCCAATGATGGGTGCCATGACACCTTTCACATATGTCTGCAACGCGTCAACAGTCAAAGGATTATTATTTGTGTAATCGATCCAAGGAGTCGACATTTTTTGATAAGAGTTGCTGCACAAAATATCTTCGGGTAGAGTGACATAGGTTTGATTGCCTCCAGCTGAGCCATAAGATAGTTGAGCATCTGGTGGTGCGAAATTCACCATTGCTTGAGTGAATTCACCATTTGATAAGCGGGAAACGTAGTTTGATGCAGCTGTTCTAACCTCAATCACACTATATCCTATTTATTATGATCGAATAATATTGTATCAGAAATTGTTTATCTCGTAAATTATTTAATACATTAGTTTACTTACCACCACCATTAGAATTTTTAGCGCAAATACTTTGATGTAATGGAATTATACTATAAATCATCATCCAAGCATCACCAGCCGCAATAATTTCATCAGTTCCATCATCATCCGAATTACTATTGTCTTCTGAACTGTTGTCAGGATTGGTCGTAGTTTGCAGGAATTTTGTTAATTCATCTTTACAATCCGTTTGTATTTGTGTATTTAAATTTTGAATTATTTTATTATCACATGGACTTTTGCATGTCGCGTCCAGATCTTTAATTAATAAATCATATGTTCTTTCGGTATTGACATCGTAAAGTGCCAAACAATCTACTAAGGAAGCGTCGGAATTATCTCTTATTTTGTGGATTGCTTGTTGACAAGCAGAGCATACTTTGGTATTGAATATTAATTCACAGGTGGTCTCTGTCGTCGAATTATCCGAGCCACGCTTTTCTTTGATTGTTAAAGCGAATGTGGTGGTGTTTGACAATACACCGAAAACTAAAAGAGCGACTAATAAGAATATAGAACTATATCTATTATAGGAATTCATTATTTCAGAGAGTTGAATTTACGTCGTCGTTTACTTAAAAATTGTGCGAGTGTAGAATTTCTAGAAAGAGGATGTTGACGACTTCCTGAAATGAAGAATGTGTAGAATTTCTAGAAAAAGGAAAGTTGCCGACTTCCTGAATGAAGGATGTGTAGAGTAGGCGGATATTGGTCGGAAAAGAAGAGAAGAAGGATGATGGATGGAATGGAAGGAAAAAAGAGAGGGATATTTTTCAATAAAAGTCATCGAAATAAATACTATTTATATAATAGCAACATGTCTCATTTGAAATTTCTATACTGAAAGACTATTTACAATACCATATAAGGGAAAGAGACAAAAACGATTTTGAACGATCATAACGATAATAATACACACGGTGAACCAACCGAGAGAGCTCATTTGTATGCGGCGAATTTCAACATTATGCATAATTTTTAATTGTACAAAAATTTCGACTGGAACACAAAAAATATCCAATAAACGCACTTGTAAGAATCCACCAGGGCGCTCCCAAAAGTTCGGGCCACGTGAAAATTTTTTGATGGTGTCAGCGATGATGACCAATTAAATTGTAAGCTCAACGTGTAACACAAAAATTCAAAAATAAACAAAACAAAGGCATATATTTGAAAAAAAGCTTATACCTCAAAATCTAGCCTATGAAACTATCTTTGTGTTCTAATAAAAAATGTTCCTTGCGAAATTTTACTATACGTACATTTTTGTTTGCCAAATAACCTTGACCCAGATCCAAACCCTAACCCTTTTCACACATCAAAAAATTATCACGTGGCCCGAACTTTTGGGGGTCGCCCTGGTGGATTCCACTTGTACGGTAATATCTACATATTCAAAAATAGTACGTACATGTGTATTTATTTCTAATAAGGATAAAAATAAATTATTAATAAGGATAAAAATAAATTATTAATATCGAATAAAAGAAAAAATCGCACTACCAAGGATCTATTCCCATTGCTTGATGAGTTGCATTTGTATTATTATTAATGTCAGAAGTAGTATTATTAGCAGTATTATTGCGATTATTATTATTATTATTATTATTATTATTATTATTATTATTATTAGCGTTTATAGTTGTAGACTGAATATCTAATTAAATAAGCTGTAGATTTTTGTCTTTAATTTTTATTGTTGTACATATTCGCGTTGAGATTTATTCTACTAAAGCGTATCCACGTGGGTTTTTCTTTTGTATATTGTAATTTTCATTCTGGTATACTACATAAAATAATCTGGATTTTTATTGTAACTTTCTATTGTTCCATTGATTGAAAGTTGTGTACAATTTATTTCTTCAACGCAATCATTTTGTATTGTTGCTTATCGACTAAGAAATTTCAGGATATGATCAGATTTATTGATTTTCTGGCATTGCTATATGTAAAAGACTCTTAGATAAAAAAGAAAGTAAAAAATAAACTCAATCCAGTTATAAAAGTCTAATACTAGAATTCCGGAAGGTTTCTATTTAATGTCCGAAAGCAAATTTTTTGCTTGCAAGATAATCACTTGGGAACACTTCTTTTTTTTTAACGAATTCAAAATCATTGGTGATAAGCAAAGGAGGCATAAGTTAGAAGTTACATATGTTCATACAAATTACAAGTATATCACGAGTCGTTATAAAAATAATTTTTGCTCTATAACTTCGAATTTAAGAATACGATACAGCGATAGCAAACGTTAATTTGCATGAACTGTGGACATGTTTAAGTAATACAAGAGCATTACCGTTACGGAAATGTATTATAAAAACCCTTCATTTTCATTGGCTAACATCGATGATCAACTTCCAAATATAGACATGCATAGTAGATCATCAATTTAACCAATGAAGATGAGGATGGGTTTTCATAATACATGTACATTTCACAATGCGGACTTGTGGCACATATCGATACACATATCAACAAACAAACAAACGTCGTTATCGTTACGTTTATTATTTTCATTTTCTGCCAAACTAAAAAAAGAATTAATGGGTGATGAACCTTCAACACATGCAACAACTACCGATTACACACCATTAAAGAGCTATGAAATCGCTTTACTCGAAGAAGTTCACCAAAAATTTATCAATGGGAAAATAGCTTGCAAACCAACCCATGCTATTTATTCTGAGATGCAAGCTTTAATAGGATCCAAAAATAGAAGCTCCAAGTATGTGTATAACATAGCTGAAAAATGCGCGGATCAAAGTAAATATTGGACATTATTAGCATACTTTAACGATGAAGGATTCGGTACTCCAAAAAATCGCCATTGCGCATTTCAATATTATAAAAAGGCAGCTGAATTAGGTGATCCTATTGGACAAGAAGGGGCCGGATTTTCTAAATTCGAAGCATTTAGAGACGATAAAGAAGCACATGACTGGACTCTAAACGCAGCAAAGGCGGGAATGGGTTTGGCAGCATATAAATTATATTCAGATTATGGATTTGGTCATAAAGCCGAGAAGAACGAATTGCTTAGCATTTATTGGCTTAAAAGATCCGCTGAAATAGGACACCTTGAAGCTCGCCTCGATTTGGGTGAGAGATACAAACTTGGGATTCAAGTTCCGAAAGATCTACGTAAATCTTTTTACTGGTATAAAAGATCGTTAGAAGTTAATCCAAAAAAAGCGATAATTCTTGCTTTCTGCTATATCAGAGGCAAGGGAACCGCTGTGGATTATCATGAAACATTAAAATATTTTCGATACGCAAAAAAACATGGGTTACCTGTTAATCTAAAAGAGCATGTATCATAAGCATTGCAAAGAAGTTGTAGTAATCATAAACGCAACTAATTTGTAAATTCAATCTTTAAAAAATTCAAATGATCTTTTTTATGCGTACATTGATAAATCAATAATTAGTTCATTTTTATAAATAAGTATTTCCTTCAAAAAGACATGACCAACACAGTGATAGCTGTTATAACGGGATTTGACTAAATCAAATGGCCTAAACGTATTTGGCTTTCCTTGTGTAGAAATAATTCGAACGAGTCTATTTCTAACTTTATGATAGTATATCAATATACATTCCCCTTGATTAGAATTTACTAAAGAAAAAATAAAATTTCTGTAAGCTAATATACTATTGGTAAATTTAAAATTGAGGAATTATTCATTATTGTTATATATTATGTCATTCAAGAGCCAAGTCATATCTCTGACTCGGGCTTGTAATAATTCGGCTCGCCTTAGACAAGAGCCATGAAATACGACTCTGGCTCTGCTTTTACGAGTATATATACGGGCTGTCTCGAGCTACTTCAGCTCTTTCGGAGTCCTAAATCAACCAATCGCATCAACACATTCAAAAGGATATCTATCCAGTAGAGACAGTGCGAGGGTTTTTATTTTAAGTACTATATTGGAACCCGCTTTTTGTTAATGTCACAACCAATACGAATAAATCATTTGATCTTGTTAGCTCCAACCGCCGAATGCTTGCCAGCATCGGCTGTTTTCTATAACCAATAGTTTTCTATTTTGGTCTCGAATGACCGGATTCTTATCTGACGGGCTTTCTAGCTCGACGACTTTTTAGCGTGATGAATTTACAATCATCCAGAATGGAATAAAGACCAATACTCGTTTATAATCTGTGCTCTGTTCCTGATCACATGATAACAGCACAATAAGAGTGTACAAATCACATTAAAGGTATTTTAGGAGTAGGGTTAAGGTTAATATTTGAGTTGAAATTTGGTGCTATATGTAAAATTGCATCTTGCATAAATCGAATACCGACCTACCGCTACGTAGACACTTTGATCAACTTTAAACCTTTTCACACTTACAAAATACATGTATCTAAAAAAAGTAATGCATCACTTGGAAGATAAATTTTGCGATGCGATAACTTCTCGTACACAACGTTAAACAATATATAACTTAGTTACCAAATATAAAAGAATTATTATACATATATTTTACATTCATAACTTAAAAAATAAAAATAATCCATTTTTACATCAAATTAAGTGATCCGTTTTTTTTTACCGATTTGATTACAAAAATGCAAATTAAGATTTCTAACCAACTAACGAATAAAAATTCACCAAATTTTAAAAGATTCTTTACCAACTAGTGTATCCACCCTTTGTATTGATTACACCTTGGATGCGCCTCCATACTTTCAATTAGATTTGTTAAAATGCATTACCCATTTCGATCTAGACTTTTTTTGTATCGCGTCCCAGAGTTGATCTTGAATATGAATGGCAATGGATAATCTTCTCAAATGCCAGTCTATTGTTCTCGTCAATTTAAGAGTTGTTGGAACTAATGAATTACAAAGGAACAATCAGTGAAAGAACAAAGACCGAATAATTTACGATTAATGGGGTTTACTAAAAGGTTCTAAAGGTCTCCTGTAGAGATGCCGCAGCAAGTATGTGACGCTTATTTGTCACCTGTTGCAACACATTGCAACTCCAAAATTTTATAAGCCGCAACTAGGTGATGCTTTATTTGTCACCATGTTGCAACAGTTGCCACGCCATCTTTAGTCTCCTGTGTGGTAGCTTGTATGCAAACTAACTTATTATTAAAGAATAAAAATAAGAGTAGATGGGATAGTTAAATAAAAGAATAAAATAAACATAGAATAATTACTAAAGAAAATAACAGAACTTATTGAGACTGCCTAATGAAATAAAATGACAATTAGACTTATTGAGACTGCCTAAAAAAAATAAAAAATAAATAGGACTTATTGACACAGCCTAAAAATAATATAACTAAAATAACTAAAAATAATAAAGTCAATGAATTATTTAGAGTGGAGGAGCATTCATTACTTGTAGTCAAGATTTGAAGATGATCATGAAAATAATAGTGTATTCACAAGTATAATATTACAAGTAAAAATCTTGCTATTTTTATTAGATCAAAATATAGTGATGAGAGACTTTTCTTTTATATATTTTCAATAGTTTCTGCAGTTTACATGGTTAATAATCATTCTGAATCATACCACTATTTACAAATAATACTAAACAATACTAAAGAAAAATAAAATCATACATAATAATAGAAATGAAAATACAAGAGAAAATTTATATGAATATTAGTAGTTAAAGTTAAGAATAATCATAAGATTTAGTAAAAAAAAAAGATTTTGAAGAAAAAAATTAATAATATAAAACTAATTATAAATTAATAAAGAAAATAGAATTACAAATAATAATAAAAAATGAAAGATAAAATAAATATAAATATAATTAAGTAAATATAATGAAAGTAATAAAAAACAGAAAATTATAAATAATTAAGTTTTGCTATAATAACTAGTTTTGATTTTTAAAAAATAATATTTAGCACAAAATATTTATATATAATATTTTTGAATTATTAGATAAATTTCTTGAAAAAATATTATATATTCAAAATTACAAATTTCATCATATAAGAATCTAAAAATTTTTTAATTAACTTTATTTAATCATATAATTTATAACTATCTCAAATTAATAATAATATAAAAAGTAACTATTTGTTATTAATCTATAATAACTAAAAGCTAATAAGCTATTTTATAAATATATAATAATATATAAAAGTATTATAAAAAATAAAAAAGTTAATTTTTAGTAATATAAATATTATAAATATATAAAATTTAATATATATATAATTAAAAATCTAAATAAATTGCTTGTATAATTTATATCAAATTAATAATATATTTTTTTTAGTTTTCTCTTAAAAATAAAATATATTATTATATAAAAAATATAACAAAATAATATATACATTATATTTTTAAAATATATTTAATATATATTTTTATCAAAAAAGTTATTAAATTTATATTTTTTTAATATTTATTGTAAATAATAAAAATATTTTCTAATTTATTATTATTTTTTAAATTATATAGTGAATAAATTTGTCTGCTAAAATATTTTTGCTTATTTTTGTAAATTTACTTCTAATTTTATAAGTTTAATTTCTCTTTTTTCTAAACTAAAATAATAATATAATATATTTTTAGTTATTATAATATAAAATTTATAATTTTAATTTATAATTATTCAAAATATTTGATTAATTTTTTAATTAATTTTGTAATTTTATTATAAAATATTTTTCAAATTTAAAATTAATTATAAAAATTTTTTAAAATTATTTATTTTTAACTTATAAATAAATATAATTTTTTATAATTATTAAAAAGTATAACTATTATTACAATTATTTTCAATAATTTCGTAATTAATGAATCTTTTAAAAATAATAGAATCTTCAAAAATAGTAATAAAAACAACAAATCAATAAAAATAATATATACATATTGATTATTTAATAATCGTATAATAATTATTTTTCTACCTTTTCTATCTTATTTACCTACCTTTTTTACTTTTTCTACCTTCGATATTTACTTTTTCTACTCTTTCTACCTTTATTTTCTATCTTTTCTACCTTTTCTACCTTCTTTTCTACTTTTTCTACCTTCGATATTTACCTTTTCTACTCTTTCTACCTTTATTTTCTATCTTTTCTATCTTTTC